GTTTACATCGGTCTCTTAGGAACAAGAACGGCTTCTACTATTAGCTGACACAACGCTTCCCGCCAGGCTTAAAACAGACAGCTGATTGGCCTGTGCCCATGCGCCAACCGACCAATGAGGCCAGTTAAGTATTTAAAGGGGCAGCATCGGCACCGTAGGGCTGCCCTCCGTGGCGGGAGGAGCGCTCCGTGGCAGGTTCCGCCGGTCTCACACGGGCACCGGCCTGCGGGGCAGTTTTGCCCCTGAGGCGCTGATATCTGTGGCCTTAAGCTAGGGAATGATTGCCGCTGTGTCTGGAAAGCGGGTAGCCTTTCCGGGCCTAGAAATGAGCCAGCGCGGGGGACGGGCGGCAGGTTCCTTCCCTCAGCCGCCCCTTGCTGCTCCCCTTCCTTTGGCGCTTGGCCTTCTGCTTGGTGAGGCAGCTGTACCTGTCCTCCCGTTGCTTCTCTTGTTTTTCCTTTCACAAGGTACCGCACCTGGGGCAGGTTTTTTTTCAGGCTGTGTAAGACTGCGCTCCTGAAGCTTCACAGAGCACCGAGTAGTTGGCTGCTGGAAAGAAGAGAAAGTACAACTATGGTCTCATATATATATATATATACACACACACTTATGGCTTTTAGCATATGTGGCAAGAGCATCCAAGTATTTTAAAAGCAGAATTAGCAATAACATCTCCTTTTTGCTAAAGGGAGAAATGTATAGCGTCTTGCTTGCTGGTGTTGGTTCATTATTACGTACCTGTGCAGGTCTCGGATACTGCCATGGCACCACAGGGTGATGGTGGAGAGCGGCAGCAGGGTGAGCCTGTGCCTTGCCTCTCATCTTCACGGGTGCTCTGCATACCGTGCAGAACCAAGATAGGATGAGGGAAGGGGTTTATCGTCCCTTGTTGCCTTTGAGGGGCTGTTGTAGCATGCAGATTTTGTGGTGCTGCTTGGGGTTCCTAAGTGCCTGTCTCTGGGCTGGGAGCTAGCAGGCTGCCTCTGTTCTTCTTATTTGCTAGAAGAGACTTCAGATTCATTTTCTCTTTTTTTCTTTTCATGACCCAAAATGTTGCTGAATCTTTCCTAAGGGCAGGCAGTCAGAGGAGTAAGAAATATGTCTTCCAACACAGTTTTTTTTGAAGGTAGGAGAAATTATTTTGTTGGTGAAGGACATCTTATGTACATCTTCTGTTTGCCTAGGGCACGGTAGGCTTGTGCAATGAATTACCACTCCCTTTCACTGCTGAGCTGCTTATTAATTACACAATCAAACAGCAATGACTTAACAAAAAATCATATTGTTCTTCTATTCAAATGGGTAATGGTGTCAGGCTCATGGTCACTTTACTAGTGGCCATCTTGGTGTTTGCCTGCAGGAGAGATCACCACAGAAAATATTGGTCTTTGTGACACGATGCTCGAGGCCCAACTCCAGTGACAAAACCAAACCAAAAGTCATCAACAGGCAAAAATTCCCCACTGTGCAAGCACAGATCCACTGAGGAGACTGGAAAAGCTCCAGTTCTTCTGGTGGCCTTTTTGACAGAGATGTGTCCATCGCCAGGACAGTCCCTGCCTTTGGCTACAGCTGCCCTAGCCCTCTGGTGCCTACAAACGTGCCATTTCCTAATAACGAACAACTCTGACCTGAAGGTTGGGTAGAAGTGTGTGGAGCCCCAGGAAGGGAAGGATTTTACTTCTGGGACCATAGACCAACTCCGACACTCTGTGGAATGCATTAAGAGGAAAGCTCCTCCATTTCCACTATTATACCCCAGGAAAAGCTGGTACAAGGCAGGCCCCGGTGCCCTTACCTCAACTGAAGAGGGAGCAAAAGGGATGAAGAGGACTTCAGACTGTGCTTCGGTTCTCTCTTTTGCTCTGTGTGCATACTGATGCTCCCACAGGTTGTGTTTGCAGAAGCAAGCGTGAATCCCTCTATGATTGCAAGGGAGTAATTCACTTAATTCTAACATTTGCTGCACCCCTGTATCTGTTAGGCTATCCATTGTCTCCTCTTGGGTTTTCATCATGAAGCAGAATATCTGCAGGAGAGAGAATCCCTCCTTGTTATCCTCAAGGCGGGACTGGATTGGATTTTGAAGGGCATTAGGTGATGCAGTGCTGCCATAGCAGGAGAAGGCCCTGACCAGGGAGGAGACAGGGGGAAGCGGGGGGAGGCCTGGTGCCTCACCAGCTGCTGGAGGCACCACTTGGACAAAATCAGGCATGTGGGGTGGAGTATTGCCGTAGGGCTCCTGGGAGCGCCAGCTGGGACGGGTTAAACCGCGGTTATAAAGAGCGCGTTAAGAGCAGCTTAATAGCGCCGGTCCCAGGGAGTGGGTGGGGAGGGCGGGTGGCTCAAGGGGGACACACGCGCCATCGGGGTGCCCGACGCCCCTCCCAGCCAAACCCAAGCTTCTCCCCCTCCGTG